AAATCGGTCTACCGATTAAATGGAACCGTTTACTTTTGCTGAATATTTGCTGCTATTCTGAAGGGTCAGAAGGCTACGGAATCTAAGTCTGAGAATTAAATTCTCTAACTTTTTATAGTTTCCGAGATATCCACGTTCATATTTACGATTTTTTGAAGTTTGTGGGCGTTAAAGTGGGCGTGGCAATAATAATAAATAAAAAAACAAGAAAGAAAGTTAGCTTCGGCAAGCCGAAGCTTATTTACCCTTGTAGCTATAATTATTAAATTTAAAAACACAAAAAATGATATTTCCAATAGTATAAGATAATATGTCGAAAAACACCGAAGCTATAATTTGTTTCATATTATTTTCCCACCAATTTTCAGATCGTTCCTATGGCAGCTATATGATATAGTCGTCCGATTTCGATAAAATTTAATTCAAAATTCAAAACTAATTAAAAAATGTTATTTCCAAGGAAAGGAGGAAATATGTAAAAAAAACACCAAAGATATAATTTTTTAACATATTTTTCCGATTATTCCTATGGGAGCTATAAGATATAGTTGTCCCATCCGGCTGGTTCCGACTTATATACTACCTGCAAAAGATATAAGACTTTTGGGAAAGTTTCAGCCCGATAGCTTTAAGACTGAGAGACTAGTTTGCGTAGAAGTGGACGGACAGACGGACATGGCTAGATCGACTCGTCTAGTCATGCTGATCAAGAATATATATACTTTATGGGGTCGGAAACGTCTCCTTCACTCCGTTGCATAATTCTAACTGAAATCAATATACCCTCTGCAAGGGTATAATGAATGCATGAATGAAAAAGGAATAAATATGTATTTCGCAGAGAAAACAATAAACATTAACAAGTCTATTATTTTTCGACTCGTCTAGTGATGCTGATCAAGAATATATAATCTTGTTGGGGTCGGAAACGTCTTCTTCACTGCGTTGAATGCAAGGGTATAAAAACGAATAACCGTTGAAATCTTGAGTTTATGGCGAAATCGATTCTTTTGAAGCAGTTCTTATTTTAGTTCTGACATTAAGTGCGCTAAAGTCAACTGATACTCAACCTAAACTTATTCTTAGCCAATTACAAATAATATTTCACGGTTCGAAAATAGGCAATTTATTACCCATTTTGTCTGTGATATACATATTTTATGTTATATAAAAAAAGTTTTTTTTTTTTAAATTTATGAAGTCACATTTTTTTTTACAATAAAAATACGTTTAATAAAATATACTTTTATCAACTTTATATTAATATATTATTTTAAAGAAATTTTACATCTATGCATATTCTCATATTTTTAAGCACAAGATGCAATTCTACATCTTTGGAAATGTGCACATTTATCGAAGAACTTCTTCATTTGGTATTACCGACTGTAATTTTTTTAAATGTAAAAAGCTCTTGTCATTTGAATTCCGGAAATCAAATTGAAACGGCACTGTACGTGATAATCTTCAATATTAAAGTTAAAATGTGGTGTTTAGTGCATTGTGGCGAGTACCATGTGCTCCCCAATGAAAAAATAACAGTTCAGAACAAAACAAGGAAGAACGCTATAGTCCAGTACCTCGACTATCAGATACCCGTTACTCAGCTAAAGGGACCAAAGGGAAATGGAGATATGCAAGCAGCAAAGCGAGATTGAAATGCGCCACCTACCGGTGGCTGTTCCTAACTTGGCTACTGCTTGATTTGTTGGGTGTGGTCATGTTGAGCACCTTTAGTACGAACATTCTATATTAATTGGTTTTTCTTTTGCAGTATAAAGTTCAGTCAGCTGCAATGAACTATTATGTAACGCGGTTGATTCTCGATCGGACGAGTCAGTGTCGCTCGTTCTTGATTAGCTACATATATCTTCAGGCTCTTTTATTTTATGATCCATCAATGCTAGATTCGTTAAATGAATACCTTCTTCATCGAGTGAAATTTCATTTTGCCGTTTGATTTCTTCTATATCAAATTGATTATTATTCATCGGATTTTTATCTTTCGTTTGCTCATAAGCAGCATTCGGTCCTGCAAAATCACTTCTATCTTCTACCAGAATAGGTTTGATTTCCTTATCAGATGAGGTTTCTTTATCGAGAAAACCTGTGATTACATAACTAAGTCTTGTGCCTTGGGCCAATGGTCTATTAGGTCCTAGTTCAAGAAGTTCACCGGTTACTACACGAGAAAATACTTCAACCCCTAAGGTTAGGTCAATGGGTCCTGGTTGCCGAAAGTCAGGATCTGCTAACGGCAGTCCCTCGGGAATATTAAGATCGGTAGCAATCGCTACTGACGGTTGGTCTGTAATGACTGTGGGCATAATAAATCCTTGAGATATAATTCACTTGTGACCCACCATCTATTACAGCGCGAAATGTTTGTTGGTGACCCGTTGGCCCTTGTAATGATACCTTGGTCCTTGGTGTAACAGTGAATGATGCCGTTGCTGGCAGACTCGACAAGTGGTCGGTGATCCACAGTTTTCAACCTTATGAGCTGCAGAGAAACAATTTTGGCATGCTCCTACTTGAATAATGGCTTGGCGCCGTGCTTTGGGGACCATTTGCTGGAAACGGCTACATGCTCTAAGATAATGTTCTCCTAGGTGACAAATCTTACAGCTCTCTTCGTTGTGAACTGACTGATGGCGGAGAGTTGCTGTAGGTTGAGCTCTTATCGTCTTATCGTCGTCGTAGCGCCGCGCTAGAGACTGCTGGTCTAGTTTTCTACTGATGATAAAACACAGGATTGGATCCTAGGATTTTGTGGTGGCATCGAGGTTTTGGAGAGTACTTATTGAGTTTTTGATAGAGTCATGTAAGGCCCTTAGTTGGCGCGAGGAGCCGTCTATAGGCCTATGGTCAATAATTTTTGCTATGGCGGCGAATACTAGTATTTTGCCGTTCTGGTACCTGGCCTTCAATCGCAACCCGGTGTCGTCATAGCCACCCTGTGAGAAGGCTGTGTCTGTCAAGACGTTTTTTGCTTCACCACGAAGCGAACTCTGTAGAATATGTAATTTTTGACTGGCCGAATATGGTTTATTATGAACCAATTCCACAAAGAGATCATGGAACCGTGTATAGTCTAGATACTCGCCATTGAACTCCTGAATGCTTATTTGCGAAAGTGCCAAGCTTAGGCTCATTGGAGCGTCGATTTCTCTAAGCAGGTTCATTTCGTATTCCTCGTATAGTGTGTGGAACTGGGTTAGCTCTGCTTTTGCCAGAGCTGTTGCCCCAGGTGTGCTATCCAGTTTGTCGTGGGCTTGCCTCTGTACCGCCCAATGGAGGTCCAGTTGCTTTGTAGGGCTGGAGTGACCGTTGGAGCATTAGAGGCTAATGTTATGTAATGATTCAATTTCGTTGCATCTTCTCTGCAACCGACGGATAACCGCGTCAATCGCGCAGTCTCTCTTGATTTGATCTCCTGCTGTAATCTCTGCTTGGTCGAAGTTCGCCTGGGGCCTTAGGAAGTCCGCTTCCAGTCGGCATGTTGTCCAGAAATATTTTTTGATATTTTTCGACCACCTCCTTAAGTGCTACTAGTCGTGACCCGTATTCACCTCCAGTGGGTAAGGCCGCTTGACTTCTTCATCTAGGTCGTAAATTTGCTGCCAGAGATCGTTTAACCGATTTAGCTTACCGGAATAATTGCCGTCTCGGTGACGTCGTGTGACCGAATCCTTGCCATAATTCTTTATGAGCTGTTGGATCTGTACTTTTAGCTTTTTTGGTTGTCTAGTAATCGATTGTGTAAATCGATTCTTGTGTGACTTGTTTCCTCTATGAATGATGTAGACATAATGTGTGTCTTGGAAACGAAAAATCCTGTGAAGACGGATAAAGCTGTGTGTCCTGTGAAGTTGGATGAAGCTGTGAATCCTGTGAAGCTTGGTTAAGCTGATGATCCTGTAAAGCTGGATCAAGCTGTGTATCCTGTGAAGCTGGATGAAGCTGGGTATCCAGCAAGCGGGCAGCGAAAACGTCAAATCATGGAAGATGTGCAACCCAAAGTCGATTCGGGAAACAGTATTAAGGAAGAGCTACGACGTACCATCGGCGGGACACGTCTGAAGCCGAAGGACAATCGGACGGTTGGCAGCCCGATACTACTGGCCAGAAATGCAATGATCAAATTATAGCGCAGTTCAAAGGGCAGGACCAGAGAAACTGGGACGAGAAATGGCCAGAGTTTATGCTAGTAGTGAATACGAGCATATCGCAATCCACCGGTTATACCCCATCGTTTCTTACCCAAAATACGCTACATAAACACAAGGAAAGAGCGGACTACACACGTCGGTAAGCTTAAGCAGCAACAAACACAAGACACAAGCGAGCAGCCTGCAGACACATCGGAGAACTAACAACAAGTACTGATCCAGATCCGCAAGGCAACAGGATTCAGCGTCGGGCATTTGCCACAGTCATCCGTGATTACGCCAGGCGGAAAAGACATTTAGAATTATACCACACGTGGATACAATCAATAATGTACGAGATCCTGAGCGCAAGGCAACAGGATTCAGCGTCGCGCATTTGCCGGAGTCATCCGTGATCACGCCAGGCGGAAAGGACATTCACTAGGACACGAATCAAGGATACGAGCAAGGCAATATGTGATCCAAACTACGAGACAACTGGACTAAGCGTCAGGCCTAAGCAACAGGCAGAGCAAATATGTACTGAACACGGTCCAAGGACAACAGCAAGGGTGTACAGCAGCCCAATTACTAGGATACTTCTCAAGGATATCAACGAAGAATATCTACCACAGACACTCACCAAGGATACCGACCCAGAATACCCTTCAAGGATAAACTGCAAAAGATACCCCTCAAGGATATCACACTGGGACACCCTCCAAGGATGCCGCCCAAAGGAAATGCCAAGGACACTGCCCAACGAATGACTCCAAAGATACACTCAAAGGACAACGCACAAGGATATCCCTAACGGATACCCCAATGATATCCTCCAGGAATACTCACCAAAGAACCCAAGCCCATGATATTTAGGAACTCGGAGGAGCAGCGACCGCAGCGTCTAAGGTACCAATACGGTCTAGCTGGTCGATCCCAGCGCTGAGCGGAGGGAGTGACGGCGTTAAATCCCTTCGGCGACAGCATACCACCCGGGTCAACGGGGGTCGGGAGGGCGACGTCGGAACAGCGAGACGCCACCAACGGAGCGACCGATGGGGAACGCCGAGGTGATCGGCCGGGCCGCGATGGAGAGCAAGGTGGAGAGCGGAGGAAGTAGCCTGAGCGAGAAGAGACGGAGGACAAGCAACGGCAACAAGAGGAGGAAGCTGCACGGTAGCGGGCAACGGTGCGCAAGGCCCACGAGCAGGAGGCCGCCCGATGGCATGCCAGGTTGCAAGAGGCCGAGGAGGAGGAGCGGCGACTATGGAAGGACCCGGTGGAGGACGCCTGAGAGGTCCCGCCGAATCCGGATCGCAGCCCAGTCAGCCAGAAGGTGGGCAAGGTATGGTCGCCGTCTCCTCCGCGGTGGTTGCCGGAGGTGCCACCCTTTCCCAGGAGCTCTGGTGCCTGCACCGAAGTGGACGACCACCCAAAGGGGAGTCCTCTCTGCGCTCTCTATCATACCTTACCCAGCGGGGGACTGGTCGAACCTGCAAAGGCCACCTGAAGGGCGAATGGGGAAAGAAGGAAAGAAACCAAACTTAAGAAATTTCGCGGCATCGCCATTGCCTATATTTGTAGGCGGTCGATCGTTACTATACGATACGATACGATCGATAGGCACAAGAACAAAATGGAAAAGAACGCAATCAAGATAGATCTGTGAGCATCGAGGGAGCATCAAGCGAGCAACGAGGGAGAAACGTTGGAGCGTCGAGGGAGTCATCGAGAGCATCGCAAGAAGGATTAAAGCCGGAGAGGAGGAACAAGTTTATTTGTTTCTCTAATACGGAGGAGTTGAAAAACTACGGCATGGCGAAGAGAGTTTTGAGAGTGAGAAGTTGGAAGGCAAGAGTTTCAAGAAAGAGAAATTGGAGAGTAAAAAAATGGAGAATGAGAGTTTGGAGAACGAGAAGATGAAGAACAAGAGTTTGGAGAACGAGAGCATGGTGATAGAGGGAAGACTTCGAAGACAGAGTGAGGGTGCCGTGTGCCAAGGGAAAAAACGGAACGCATCGGACCTTCCTCGGAGAGGAATTTCTGAATTGAGACACAGGTAGTCAAGGCGATTCGTTCCTACTCTTGTCACGACCACACCCTGGCATATCGCTCGGCGGGTCCGCGCCCAATTGAGCAGGGCCTGGCGTGAAGGACGAGAGGTCAAACGATTTGCGGTTTCAGGAGGCGCTGTTTTGGAGAGTCCAGCGGATACCGGCGGAGCCCCAGAACAGCGACTGACCGAAACCTCGAGTGCCAGAGAACGACACTGTCAGCAAGTAGGGAATAAGCGGTCATCGAGTCAACGCGTCGACGATCCAAGACGAGCGTCATCAGCAGCCACTGGAGTCAGCGGTTCGCGTCACCGAGCCACGGAGACCACCCGCTGTAATAAGATAATCCAGAATAAATCCACAGTAACCCTTTGAATTATATGCTTCTACAGGGCAGTCACGTCATATAAATTTGTTTGGAACGAACACACAATCTACTGAGCTAACCCACGAACCAGTTCGTTACAATTAACTTGGAGTTGGCTACCGATCTCAGCACGGAGATATTTCTTGCTGCACTTCGACGGTTTTTTCTCCCGTCAAGGCAAGTGTTCCCTAATCTGCAGCGACAAAGCTCGCAACGGTGTGGCAGCAAAGGAAGCGTTGGACGAGATGTATAAGCTCATCCTGTCGCAGCAGCAGAACAACTAAGTAACCCAAGGGAGGCCAGCGAGGGTATCAAATGGACCACCACACGCACCCCACTGGGGCGGAAAATGGGAATCAACTGTTCGCTCCGTAAGGCGTCATCATCGGCAATTCTATCCTCATATTTGAGCAAATACACACACTTCTGACTCACTTTGAGTCCGCCGTCAATTCACGCCTACTCTTTGCCACATCAGACATCGAGGTTTCCTACTTGTCACCCGTACATCAGCTGATTGGACGCCAATATCCATTAGTCCCAAAGGGCGATCTTACCCATGTTGCAGTTAACAGGCAATGCTTCAATGCTTCTGGAAGAGCTGGCATCAAGAGCACCTCCCTAAACTCCCTTAGTAAAAAACGGAGAGGAAGAACGTTGCTACTGACAATCATCAAGGATTCAAGCCCTGCCGCATGGGTAGGGTTTACTCGTAGAGTAATCGGGTATACTAGATTCGACGGAAAGTATGTAACAGGTATAAGGAAGCGTTTCCGACCCTATAAAGCATATATATTCTTCATCAGGATCAGAAATTTGGGATTTGGTATGTAGATTCGTGAGTTTCTTGCGCAGCGCAATTTTGTTTGAGCAGGGTGCCACGTTCACTCTAACGCCCACAAACGAGTATAGCACTACATTCCGTCCAGCGCCCACATTTTATAATATTTTGTAGAAATGAAAATTTTGTTTTTATTGTCAATAAATATATACATAACAAATATTATTGAAATCTAAAAAACAACAACAAGCAATTCACAGCAATACGGCAAAGTACGACAATTGTAAAAAATTTTGTAAGTAATCAACGCAGAAACAATTTTATGAGAACACCTGTTGCAGTTGCCCACATTTGATTTACACAATTTATTAGATATGGGAGTGTAAGGTAAGGTGACGTAAACGTCGAAAGTTTCAAATAGTTGTATTCAATTTCTCTTATCGTGCCGACGATTATTAGGAATTGGCGTAATTTGTTTGTGAGAACATTTTGAATAGGAAGGTGGAGAAAAACTTAAAAAACGTACTCAAATTACAAGTGTTTCAGCGGTTCCACAGAAAAGATTTGTGGAAACCCAAATCAGATAAGTATATACAAGTATTAATAAGATCTTAAGCAACAGTTCTTGGTACATTGTAATTTTTTCTTTTTCGACTTTTAAAAGTTTCACTGAGCTGGCTCTTGGCTGCGTACCAAAACGGAGCCCCAGAATGCGTCAAAGATTTGTGATGCGGCAACGGTGAATTGCCATGCGTAGCGGCAGAGGGCGTTACGATCGGGGGAAATGCGCCGACTCGTCCAACCAAATATAAAAACACATCACGTTATAATTCATTTTAATTCCTGATTTAGTTTGCTTACAGAAAGAGTGGCTTGCTGAGAATGATTTCTAAGACTAAACAAGGAAGAACGCTATAGTCGAGTACGTCGACTATCAAATACCCGTTACTCAGCTAAAGGTACCAAAGGGAAATTGAGATATGCAAGCGAAATTGAAATGCGCCACCTACCCGTGATCTCAATATATGGTTATGTGGGCGGTAGACAGATTAAAGCGTTATGGGCGTTAGAGTGGGCGTGGCAAATTTTCGATCGATAGGTATTGTCGAGACCAAAACATTTCAGTTTAAATTTTTTATTTAGCATAAAAGTTGTGGGCGCCACAGGTTTCGGCGGTTTGTGGGCGTTAGAGTGGGCGTGGCATATTCGCGTGAAAAACTTGCGCTGCGTAAAGGCTACGAAATTAAAATCTGAGATCACATTACTCTTTCTTTCATAGTTTCCGAGAAATCCGCGTTCATATTTACGATTTTTTTAAGTTTGTGGGCGGTTTGTGGGCGTTAAAGTGGGCTTGCCAAATTTTTTTTGGCCCAATCGATAGGTATTGACGAGAACAATACATTTCAGTTAAAATTTTTACTCCAGCGTCAAAACTGTAGGAGCCACAGTTTTGAGCGGCTTGTGGGCGTTAGAGTGGGCGTGGCACGCTGCTGAAACTAACTTGCGCTGCGTAAAAAGTCAGGAATCTGCATGCCTAATCCCAATAGCCTACCTCTTATAGTTTCCGAGATCTCAGCGTTCATCCGGACGGACATGGCTAGATCCACTCGGTTAGTGATCCTGATCAAGAATATATACACTTTATGGGGTCGGAAACGCTTCTTTCTGCCTGTTACATACTTTTCGACGAATCTAGTATACCCTTTTACTCTAGGAGTAAAGGGTATAAATATAAATTTTACTCTACGAGTAACGGGTATAAAAATACATGCGACATGTTTGTATGTATATAAAGGGGTGATCAAAAGTATTTTCACAAAACAAAAGTTAAATATACTCATAATTTGAACTTTCTTCTTGTTAACTGAGGCATCAATGGAAAGGTAATTTAAATGACGTTTAAATGATGCAATACTTTTCTTAACCCATTCAGTACTTGTTGAAAAGGACGAATTTGTGTGAAAACCTACTTTTAAAACATTTTTCCTCGTCTTGAAAACTTAAATTTTGTTGATGCAAAAAAGTTTCATCAAACAAAAATAATAGTAAATGCAAAAAGAATTTTTCAAAAATCATTTTGCTTATATTTTTTATAATTTTTTGAAAATGCTTAGAAACATGCATTTGAGCTATATTTTTCTTTTTTTTCATACAAATTTTTTCCGACATTGTCACCTTTCAAAAATCATAAAATATATAAGCAAAATTATTTTTGAAAAATTCTTTTGGAACACATGATGAATGTTCTATTTCAAATGTGTCCTGCAAATTTGATCCAGATCGCATAATAAATATTGAAGCTATTCAATAAGAAAGAATTTTATTTCGTTGAATCATTTTATGTATTCATTTTCAACTTCATCAATGTCATCAATTTCATTATTATTATAAAAAAACAAGGAAGAACGCTATAGTCGAGTACCTCGACTATCAGATACCCGTTACTCAGCTAAATACAGATTTAAGCCTTATGGGCGTTAGAGTGGGCGTGGCAAATTTTTGGACCAATCGATAGGTATTGACGAGGCCAATACATTTAAGTTAAATTTGTTTATCTAGCATGAAAACTGTGGGCGACACAGGTTTTCGCGGCTTGTGGGCGTTAAAGTGGGCGTAGCAAACTTTTTTTTGGGTCAATCGATAAGTATTGATGAGAACAATACATTTCGGTTAAAATTTTCTATCTAGCATCAAAACTGTAGGAGCCACAGTTTTGGGCGGTTTGTGGGCGTTAGAGTGGGCGTGGCACTCTACTGAAACAAACTTGCGCTGCGCAGGAATCTCA